TAACAGCAAGTCAGCTATAAAGCCTCACAGTCCAACCACCTTCTAAAAGCAACACCGGTGGTTGCATGGTGCCCTTGGTGGACACGTGGGTATAAACCAAGCAGTGGGCCTAAACAGCTACTGGAGGAGCAATCACCTGGGGCACTGGTAAAAATGCAAATTACCCAGCATGACATTTGTGGAATCTTGGTTTAACCTGCCTCAAAATTATTGTTTTTTTTTGTTGTTGTTGTTGTTTTTTGTTTGTTTTTGGTATTGGGAATTGAACTCACAAACTTGCACTTGCCAGGCAGGCGCTGTGCCACTGAACTCTATCCCCGGTCCCCAAGTTTTTATTTCTAAATATAGATTTCCAGGGCTCAGCATTTGCTGCTCCAAAATCACTCGAGGTGTTAATGTATTCCAGCATTCTTAGATTTTGGAAGAGGCTCTTCAAGAGGATCCCTTTACTCATCTAGAAACACTTGCATGAGCATGTACTGTGTCAGCAGCTCCATGACGCTAGGAAATCAACAGCAAATACATCAGTCTCTGCCTCTAAGGAGCTAAAGTCCTTTGGGAAAGGGAAACAGAAAGGATAAGCGAACAAATACATCATGGAGAGAACACTCAGGCAGGGAGGTGTGGGGAGTGCAAGGCGATAAGGTGACTTCTATGGTCCAGGTGATCTTTCTAATCAAAGCACTTCCAGGCTGAAGATGTTAGGAGTTCACCAGGAACATGGAGGTAACCAGGATATAGAAACAAGGTTAAGTATAAAGACTGCAAGGGAGACTTTGTTTGTCTGGCATTCTGGACAAAGAAAAAGGAGTCTGGTGTCTGGAGAGGATTGAGATCAGAAGAAGAGACAGAAGATACCAGATAGTGAGAGAATTAGGTCACGCTAGGTGGGGAAGCCCAGATGCTCTCACACTGTGTGAGTAGAAAATACAAAAAGGACAGTATCTGCCTGGAACTTTAACACATCAGCTCTGGTACCGAACATACAATGTAGGAAGCAATTGTGGAGGCAGGAAGATGCAGCTGATGGGACAGAGTCCTAGCAAGAGGAGATGACAGGAAGAGCACAGCAACTGATAGGAAGTAATCAAATTCTAGATCTATTTGCAAAAATCAATCAGGATTATTTTTATAATGGATTCAATGTGTGTTACCAAAAAAAGGGTGTAATCAGGATGACTAAACTAGTGTTTGGGCACTTAGAGGTCAGGAAGTTTGGTGTAAGTGAGATTTGCTCCCAATAAACTTCCAGGTGGGCACCAGCATGATGCTTGTTTCACTAACGGAGCATCTTCCATGGAGAGCTGAAGGTGAAAACTAGAACAGACATGAGATGACCTTGATTCATTAAAATCTGTTTTCTTCCTAACATGAAAAGGGGACACAAGACATCTATTTCTCTATCTGTAACCAGAAAATGAAAAGGTAAAAGAGCTAGTTTTCTGACATCTGCAACAGAATGGAATAGAATTTTTAACATCAGAAAAATATTTATGATTTTGCTAATTTGTTAGTTTTTAGTAATTTTGAATATTCAGACATTTTAGATTCTAAAATGAAACAAAACAGTGACTCACACTTGAGTCAAATGATGGACAACTACGGGAAAATCCTCCTGCCCTATTTCATCTTTGGAACTCATTTCCTATTATTTTGGATTAAATTCCTGTATTTTACAATAACTCTTATTCATTATATGAATCTGCTGGTGTGTTTAATATAAAAACCTACCTTGTTATTCTTCATATGGAGACAGAAATTTTGTCTTAAAAACACGATGCAATAATTTTATTATTTAATACGAGCAATATAACCTGTTACATCTGTGTGCACGTTTTGGTCAAAACCTGTAACCTTCCTTAAGTTAGGATTTTGAATTTTTTTAATGCTTCCCTCTATTTGGCTTTTACTTCCTTGCCTTATTTGTAAAGATGTGGCCCATGTTTGTCTTTAATTGAAAATCACATCAAATCCTTTGGATGCCAACACTGAGTAATCAATGAATATAAATCTATATTGACTTTTAAATGTTCATTTTGTACTTTATAGTCTTTATCTTCACCTCCATTTAAGCTTTGTTCCTTGTGCAGAAATATTTATCAATGATTCCAAAATTTAAGGACAAGTTTAGTCTAGAATCTTATCTAACGAAGAATAAATGTAAAGGATTTCCTATCAAAAAATAAAATTACAAATATGCTTATCTATTGGAAGCTATGTTTTCATTTGACTCCACAGGTAAATTATTTTTTTTGTCCTTCCCTGCAGGACTACGTAAGACTCATTACAGAGAATATGTATGTAGGTATGAAGTGTTATAGAAAGCTTGGGGCACAAAATCATTTATGAAGCAGGTAAACTTGGCAAGAGACCACACTCCAGGACTTTGCTTTCTAGTGGAAGACAAAAATTTGCTGGGGTTGGGAAGATTTAAAAAGGGCAACTGGCTTTTATTTGGGAATTCACATTTCTAAGAAAAAAGACCATTCTAAAAGTACAGAAGAAAGCACAACTTTCTTTGGTAGTTGTAGATTGTCAGGTAACTTCCATTATAGTACTCGCAAGGAGACCTCAAAGTAGAGAAAAAAAGCCAACACACACACACACACACACACACACACACACCATAATATGCCTTTGAAGCTTAGATTCCAAGTAAAAAAACACTACGATATTACTATAGTCTTGAAAGTAGCAGAGTAATCACATTGCATGTTTCACAACTGACCCTTGGGAGGAAGAGGCCCGCAGACACTGATACCCTACCCTTATCACTGTAATGGAAGCCTAATGCTTCTCACTGATCATCCATCAAAGGCGGGGCTGAACGGAAGGCACATTTATCTCCACGTAAGGAGACTGCTTTGAAACTCTAACTGATCTCAAATTTCCTAGCAGTTTAAATCACAATACTGCTAGGGAAAAATAATACACAGCATACCTTACTGATTAATTTCTCAACCTCCAAAAGAAGATATGATTTAAGTTAAGTTTACTGGTACAATTTTGGTATATACAATGATCACATTCATCATAGGGAATCTGTACCTGTGCACGATATGCCTGAATAAACTGGTGAATTCCTGCTCAGTGAGTTCTGTTGCTACTTCCAAGTACCAGAGGAAAAAGTCTGGATTTTACAGGTTAACTAGGTGTTTTTCCTAGGATAGTGAAGAAAAGAATTTAAAACTGTCCAGGGATCCTGAGGGGCCAATACAGGAAGAAACTTTTTATTTCCCCTAAGATGATGTTCTAGAATTTCCATGTGACTCGTTATAGTCTTCACAGAACTTGAATTTTCTAATGAAAAGCATCGTAGAAGGCATTCCTTCTACATTAATATTCATCATCAATTTGTCAAAGCATAGAAAACATTTCCAAGACTGGCACAATGGAGTACTTAGACAAGAACAATATAAAGTGAATAACCAGAGAATTAACCACTTAAGTTACTTATACTAATTATAAGCAATGAATTTCTCCCTCTATGTATACTGACATGAAAAATGACTGCAATGTAAACAGTGATGAAAGAAAAAATGCAGAAATATATTTAGAACACACACATGTATAAATATATATACACATATATATTTATGTTCCCAGGAAAATTCCTGGAAACTTACACATCAAACTATTAGAAGTGGCTTCTAGGCCATGAGCTAGGCTAGGAATTATACTTTACTGTTTGTTTGTTTGAGATGGGGTCTCACTATGTAGTTTAGGCTGGCCTTCACCCACTGTTTAGCCTAGGCTGGCCTTGAATTCACAGCAATCCTCCTGCCTCAGCCTCCTGACTGCTGAAATTATAGGCGTGCACCACCACACCCAGTTTAAACTTTACATATGCAACACTAATTAAGGTCTTATTGGTATACATTACTTTCAATGATGAAATGCAAGGCCGAAAGTTAAAACAGAGAAAATAATCAAAAGAAGTTGACACCTTTTCCTACAAAGGAAAAGTGTTGGAAAGTACAGATGAGAAATGGTTAGATTCAGTCACAGCTATGAACAAGTTCATGGTTTGCTTCTGAACTAGAACTGCATGGTTGGAAAGGCAGTGGGCAGTAAGAAACTCTGGCCTGTTCTGTGATCTGCACGTAGCTAAGGCATAGGGTCTACGCCAGCTGGAAACCTAGGCATCCATTCCTCCTCCACTGTATAAATATAAAAAAGGCTGTTCTGTGATTTACTTATTGGACACAGGGTTTTGTTATGCAGCACAGGTTGGTCTCAAATTGAGCCTTCCCCTGGCCTGAGGAGTCTTAGTGTTGGATGTGAGGATGCTTTCCTAAGGTAAGAGATACCTTCAGAATCCTCTGTTCCATCAATACCAGTCTTTCTATACTCATTAAGAAACAATTTCAGTGTGCAGCATCACCCAAGGTAAAACAAAACACACACAAAAATAAGACATACAGATAGAGAATGATACATTGTGTCTTGGCATTTATAGTTCTTTCAAATAACGCAGTAAAATTCAGGGAGGCTCTGAGAGGTACATTTTTATTATTGCACCTAAAAAATAGATTGCTTCTGATTTTTTAAAATCTGCATTCTCTCATACTGAGGAATGCAGGGGCAACAAGATAATCTAGCAGTGTCTAAAAATAGATGCTGCAGAAATTGGAAATTGATGTTTTATGTAATTTTATGTAAGATTCTACCAGCACTCACTTACAAGGGACAGAGATCAAGTCTGTGCAGAATGAACTACCCTCTCGTTGTTGCTCTAGAAATGAGCTTTTCTTAGTGCTCTGCGTTCCTGATTAGGGGACTGTGCACACACTGTCACTGGGTAAACACAAGGCGTTAATAGAACTCTTCTTTTTCAACACTGGAAAGAAGGAATAGAAAAAAGACAAAACCCATATAACCAAACAAAATCATGACGCAAAGATTTATTTAACAAGATATCTTCTCAGGAAAGACCTCAAAAAACAAACGAAAACACAATTCTTATTTATTCAATATACTTATTTATTCAATGTACCTTATTTTTTAAATCTCTGGAAGTCATGTTGGACATTTTACACAATCAGAACATTTTGAAAATATTTACAAAAAGGCATTAAAGTAACACAATGTCTGTGTATTTAAAAAAAACCCTGAAATTGTGGTTAAAATAAAATTGTGACGTATTTAGCTGTTATCATTAGGTGTTTTAAGATAATCTAATGGGAAGTAATAAAGTTTCCTGCAATTACAGTATGTTTCATATGCCAATTGAAAGGCAATATTAGGTAACATCTTCTGCAACTGTGGTGTCGAAAATCTGATAGCAAATTTGCTGCTCTGCTCCATTTGTGACATTATATGACCTGATAACACACTCCATCCATGGATACACATCTACAAATCAGAAAGAAAATGGTACTTAGCCATTAAAAATAAATAGGTCACTATTAATAGTGATTAATTTGAAATTTGATCAACAATGGGCAAATGTGATTAGAACTTTCAAAATGATGGCAAAGGTGTTGTAATCATCTCATCTCCAATTTGCATTCCTCTTTCCTTGTTCATTGCCCAATGACCTACAGTGCTACCTCACCTCACAAAATTACTGCTTCCACATTTCTGGTCACAAGGCTGCCTAGACAAGAACCGAATCAAATTTCCCATTAGGTCAACACTGCACCTACACCACTAAATTTGATTTGGTTCTCGAAGCCCAGGCATGTTACGGAACATATACGTCATTTCTAGGATTTGGTTCTGATCACAGTAAATTTATTTACAGTTTCAAGAAAAGGCTCTTATGATTCCTCATATTCAAGACTGAAAAGTATTTAATTTGGCAAGGGTAAAGCTTGAAGGATACCTCTCCTACACTGGGGGTAAAAGTGTAGGTAAGTAAAATATTTTCAAAAAATAATCCAGCAGTACTAATCAAAAGCTGTAAGTCCAGGAGCTTTACTCCCAGAAATATGTCCCAAATAATTCAAACTCCCAACACAAGTTAAAACTGACAACAAACAAAAGTATACGTTATATTTTGTTACAGATGAACAAAAACTATCAATTTACAGAACTGTTAATTAAAATGCAGTGACTGCACAGGTAAAAGTAAAGCTGATATAAAATAACCTGTAAGAATTAAACCACAGCAAAATCTGCAGCTGGTGAAATTTGTTACTGATAAAACCTATGAGGAGAAACACAGGACCTCATGATTGGGCACTGCAAGATTGAACAGAAAAGGAAATAATGGTCTCAGAAGGAAAATTCTGCCGCAGACTCTGATGTCATGAAAGTCTAGTGATTAATCTAATGTTTACACAGAAAACAGCTAATGTACATTAAAAACTATTAACTAAAAATTTAAATGCTTCTTGTAAATATTTCATGGTTTTTGGAATAATTTCAAGTAAAATGTGCTCTTGCATAAATAGCACCAAATATGTTTGTGATCAAAATTGCTTCTTTTGTTATACAAGGTATGCATGAAAGTACAGTGAATGATTAAACATAAAAAAAATTACACTAAAAAGCGCATTGCCATTCATCCCACTCAAATTGAATACATTTCTGCCACTGTTCTTGCTGCTTTCTGAAGCAGTTCTGGAAGTTCTCTTTCATGTCTTTAATTGCTCTGTTGTGGCTGCCTCCACGTCCTGAATTAACTCAAAATGTTCACCTTTCATGACTGTATTCTGACCTCCGGGAAGGGCCAGAAGTTGCACAGTGCCAGATCTAATGAGTAAGGTAGATGAGGTCACACTATACTGTTTTTAACTGATGAAACTGCCCTAAAATTTTTGAATTAATTCAGGACACTGAGGCAGCCATGGAAGTGCAACTAAAGACACTCACAAAAAAAGGACTTCTGCAATTGCTGCAGAAAGTGGCAAAAACAAGGGGATAAATGGATGTGAAGCGAGGGGAAGTACTCAGGGGGGTTAATGGCAGTGTGCCTTTTACTGTAATACATATTTTTAACCTATGCATTCACTATAGTTCTGATCACACCTGTTTTGAAAAAGTTGTAAAATCTTTTCTTTTATGCCTACTTTGTATCTGCCACTGTCTCATCAAAAGGTTGATGATAGAGTGGATCAATCACTTTGGACAAAAGTATTTCAGAGTTCTGAAAGTCCACAGATTATACACATGTATGTTGCTGTTTTGAGAAAAACAGGAGTGGGTGCTGTTAAAATCATACCACCTACCAATTTTTGTTCCTGGAGGACAAAACATATCCATGATCAAATCCATACTTCTCTGAAGGTTATCATCAAGTAGGACTTCTGATGCTGGAATCTGGAAGAATCTGTCCTTCAAAGCATTATGGCAGAAAAAGAAAATGGTATTAACTTTTTTGAAACTATAATGCAAAAATATTTTTAAATCATCTAATTACTAACATAATCTAGACTGTTTCACTATATGAAGACTGTAGAATTCAAGAATTACAGTACTGGCCTGAACTCAAATAAATGACTTATACCACTGCCCCACAAATTTATACAGTATCTGTTTTCTTAACAAAAAATAGCTCTACTTCCTCTAATATGAAATATGAATGTTTAGAAACTGTGGTGAGACAGTGATTATAAATAATGCTGACACAATGTGGACATCTCCTTGCTCTTTGGCCCTGGAATGGAATTTATACCTGGAAGAAAGAATGAGTCACTTCTCTATTTGTATTTCCAAATTCTTCATTTTTCAATTATTATTTATAAGATGAAAAGAGATATGCAAGATAATTTTTGATTTATGTATTTTATTTATAGTTTTAAAGTTCTTTCAGAAATAAGGAAGGCAGGAGTAATTTATTAATTTTTAACATATTAATTTGTAATAAGAAATATCTTTTACCAGCCCTGTTACTTACAGAATCCATGAGATAAGCTTCTAATACTCCTGTTCCGTCATCCAGAGTAAATGTCATAACAAACACATGTTGCAGGGGTACAATACCCAATGCTAACGAGGAAAGAAAGACCAAACCACGTGAGTGGCTTTTATCAAGACAAAATCAATTGCATATACATACAAATTTTATGTACTAAAATAATTTAAGCAATAAAGAAAATCTTACACATATGACTTTTGCTCTCTAATATCAATCATTAAGCTCACTTAGCAGGTTAATTTTGGAATACTCCACTACTTTTGCATAGGGGTAATGTCTCATGATATTATAAGCAATTGAATTTTTTGATTAAATATTATCATATCTTTAGCATGAGTTGATACCTTGAAAGAAACCACAAGTGATTTATAAAATGCAAATTGTTATATGCTAGTCATACCAAAGATAAAATTAACATGCTAAAATGTTCTAAAAACAGCATATCAGTAAGTATTTTTTAATATACCTCTCCCTTCATATTATAAATATCAGTGATGTGCTATTACTTTTAAGGTACATCATCTGTTTAATGAACAAGAAAATCAGAACTGAGGATTTCATAATTTTGTAAGATGAAGAAAAAAGAAGAAATTCATGATCCTAAGTACATAAGAATTCACAGGACAAGAGTACTTTGTTCTGAAGAAGACACCTCGATGTTTATAGAAAACTGTATCAGCTTATACCTAAGGAACCTATATATAGACAGCAGAACCAACTAAGCAGGCAAATTATTCATTAGGGCAAAGTGACATGGATTTAAGCACAGTACAGTACAAGCTATTAATATAGAGGAATTGATTTTTAGGCTTCTAAGGTCTCAGCAGGTTGAAACAGTGCACTAAAACCCAGACGGATGAACTTTAAAAACCTACGCTGAGAGACCATGCAAAGAAACCAACAAAAACGAAACCACATTAAGAGTATGATGGGGAGACAAGCTTGGTATTACGAAGTTCATGTGAAAGTCAATGGGAGAGTGCACAAGACAAGACAGAATATGAGACAGTAGTGTGATAGAGCTGGATTAAAAAAAAGGAAAGAAAACACAACAAAGTATACAAATAAACACCCATAGAATGAAATTTTAGGCTAGTAGAATCTGAGTGGATAGTGTCAGAACAATAATTTTCCCTATCTTCTGAATTTGCCAAACTACATCTGCAACACTATGTTCAGCTTTGAATGCTAAATTTCAAAAACATTAGCAACCTGGAATGTTCACTGCAGAGGAGAAACACAATAGATAGGAATTCATAAGAGTACCAAAGGAAGTGTGGATACCTGCTTAAAGCAATAAAGATTCAATGGAGGCTGAACAAATATTTTCAAATGAACAAAGTCTGATTATCACATAGAAGAGGAAATATGTGGTCTGAATAATTAGTACACTGAATTTGGCCTCTACTGAAGTTGCACGTAGACAACTTTTGCTTCGGTATTAAGAGACTAAAATTTAAGGGTATATGCTACCCTTCAATGCAACAAGTACCTCATTCACAAAAGGCTGGGTGACCACAGTTAAAACTTAAATATAAAAGGATTCTTGTGGCCCTGTGTAGATGGATGCTGGGAGATAAGTTGTACCAGCTCTCTCTAAAATCCCTTTCAATCTCAAGATGCCCTGAGCTGCAGAGATCTTTCAGAAATTATTTATGATCAATGAATAACAGGAAAACACTTACTGAATACTAAATATCCATTATAATTAAAAATACTGGAAGATGGAAAGGAGATTTTGTAAATATTTTAAACATTTACTCTGGTCTCAGTACAATCACTGTAAATAGTTTTTACATAAAACAGTTATACTTCAGCCTTACATATCTATAAATCCTGAAATATAAATCAGTGACATGACCTTATATACAGTTAAAGGAAATTAAATTAACCTTCTGCCACAGAAGAAGGAATCCATGATGTCTCACCAACAAGGGAATTTAAATTTTGTATTGGTTTCAAACTAGAACATTGCTTACACCTGAAATTAATAAAAGAAATAATTATACTTAAATTAATTGAATTCATTTAATCATTATTATAACGTTTTTGCTGCTTAAGCACATATAGTCATAAAAAAGTAAATTATTATACAGAAGAACACTGTATTTGTTATACTTGTTTTAAAAGAGAATTATCAAAAAGTAAGCTTTTTACATAAAACCAACAACAGAAAGATAATATAAGGTTCAGAATGAACAACTTTAAATTGAAAAGTGATTTCAGGTCTAAGTCAGTAATTAATTAGGATCTAGTGAATTTCTTAAGTCATTAAAATAACAAAGTTGATTTCTAAGAACTTTTTGATTTTATGGTTTATGAATAATATCTAACGACCACACAGTCCTGAGAAATATAACCATTAGAAGAAAACTGTCCTCGCTAAAATAGTCAGGACTAGCAAATTTTGGGTAATTAATATCTTAAATAAGCAATACTGAACCTAAATGAACCAAAAAGAATTTTAAATAAGCACATAATAAGAGTTTGTAATTTATGATGCCTGAGACTATAGTTATCGTTTGAAAAGTAAATATATCTAAAACTATACAATTGTTAATGCTGCACATTATTCAGTGTGTATAATTTTGCTTTATTTATATACCAACATATTTGAAGTCTGAGTAACTCAGTTTTTATTATGAATCACCAACATGTTTATGATATGTGATATGTGGTAAGAAAATGTACCTGGGAAAATACTCTTGAATAAAGTTATAAAAATTCAATTTCAAAAAACTCCTTTCATTTATACATTAGGAAAAACAGGGGTTAACTTCATTAGATTTAGACTTTATCACCTGATTACCAACTATAGAGATGTTTCTTTTATAGCAAAAAAGACGAATGAAAGAATATTATTACCTAAAAAAGGACTGTGATACAGACTAGAATGAAACACTGGTAAAACAAGCATGCTGGTTAAAAATTATGGGTAATAAGCCTAAATCAAAGAATTTAATTTTTTTTTCTAAAGCAGTAAAAAATTAAACATGATAAATTAGAAAAATTAAGTAAATTCAGCACGAGGTTGGAAAGAAAAATACTAGTTTTTAAGAAGGGTAAAATATAGTAAAAAATGTGATAAATAGAAAACAAGAATCTAGAAATATATACTAAATAAATGTAAATAATTAAAGCTATATTTAAATTCAATTATTAAAATGTAGCGTCTTTTATTTATAAGTAACATTAAAATGACACAAAAACTTGAAAGAATAAAAATAATATACCATACAATTACCATCTTACAAACAAATAAAAGCTTAAAAACAAACAATATTAGCAAAAGTAAATCTTGAAGCAGAAAGTCATGGTTAGGAATGTTGACTTTAAGTAAGAATACACAGAACAATGAATTCACCAAAAGACAAGTAGTGTTGAACCTACATGAACCAACAAGAATTTCAAAATATGTAAAGCAAATGATGACAAAATAAAAGATTACAAGCACAAAATCAGAGTTTATTTTTACATACACATACCTCTTTAAGAAACTGACTAGAGAGAAAATCAAAAGAAACAGAAGTTTTGATTTTGATTAACAAGACTATTCTCATACACAACCTCTATAAAAATGCTAACTCAACTATTTTAGAATATATATATTCTTTTTCCACAGACATGCAAGACACAAAAATGTGTAAATAAATATTCTAGCAAAGCAAAGTTGAATAAATCCCAAAGAATCAATCTGAAATGTTGCACAGTATTCTGCTAAAATACAATCTAACTAAAGTACAAATGAAACATAATACCCAAAATAAAGTACAAATTTTCACATCATACATGTGAAAAAATTCTGAATACACATTTCAATGATTCATGGGTCAAAAAGGAATTAAGAAACATTTAGAACTGATGGTTAGAAAAATACGATATACTAAACCTTGGAGTAAAGCTATGATAATACTGCTGGGAAGACAAATTTAGGCTTTAAAAAAGCTAGTTATTTTGGCAAAGAAAGAACAATGGTGGGGGGAATGACAGCTCAAAGAAATACTAAAAGAAATAGTATTTAAAGATTATTAAAAGAAACAGTATTAAATAAAATAGCTGAATTTTAAAAATTATCAGAAAATACTATGGACAATTACACGTCAATAAATTTTAAAAGTGCATCAACTGAATACTTTTCAAGAAAAGTCTCACTAGTACGGTATAAAACCTTAGAATATGTGTAACCATTAAATAAACTGAACCATTAGCCTACATTCTACTTAAAAAACATCACGTTCAAAAAACAATTTGTTTTTGGAGACAGAGTCTCACTATGGAGTTCTGGCTAGCCTCAAACTAACTATGTAGTACACCTGGCCTTGGACTTGGAGCAAAGCTTCTGCCTCAGTCTCCCAAATGCTGGGATTACAGGTGTGTACCCTCATGCTCAGTGTCTCAAAAAAATTTAAGGAAAACATTTATGGTTTTAGAAAGTACTCTGGTAAACATGACTATATTAACAGTTAAAAAGCTATAAAACAAAATAAGTCAAAGTTGCAAGGGTATAGCATATACTAGAAGTAAGGATGTAACTGATGAAAGATTAGTATCTCTAATATAGCAAGAATTCTTAAGGTTGCTGATTTGCACATCTGAAGCAAAAAGATTATTAACCACACAGAAATACAAGTAAATGATGTGAACATAGAATTAATAGAACAGGCTATCAATGTAGCCAACGAGCATAAATGTTGCTTCAACCCAGGAATCATCTAGGAAATAACGAAGTATTCATGGACACCATTTGACACTCATTAGCCTAAAAAACTACTGCTTTGATAAATCCCATGTGCTGGAGAATTTGACAAAAACTGAATTTTTTATACTTTTATTAAGGGGATCAAGAATTGTTAAAACCATGAAAATAACTTTTTGTTTTTTTCTCTCACAAAGCAAAAATATGAATACAGTATTAGTACTTTATGATCTAATAGTTCCAATTCTAGGTAAATACCTTAGGAGTAACTTTCAAACACTTTTGTCAGAGAGAGTAAAAATTAACTGATACCATGGTACAGTACATACAGGTACACATGAAACCAAAACAGACCTTTCGGGAGTAACACTGAACCTTCCTAGGTAAAATGCTCTCTATTACCCACTTTGTCTTGTTCCATTTCCTAATACAACCACACCGTAACACTGAAAAAAAATAACTTGTCATGGTCCACGACACTGACTGTGTCATAAAGGAAATATGCAAGTAAACGTATTATAGTCCTTTAGCACTGTCATCTATAAATGAAAGAAACTGAAATAACGTTTTCATTTAGAAAAAAAGGATTAAAATTATGATTACTTCATCAAATATTTTATAGGTATCAAAATAATCTAAATCTAGATTTATCAATAGATACATTTTGAAAATAACGTTGAATGAAAAGGGGAAGCAGTAAAAGAAGTACCATAGTATGAGTTTACACAAATTTAGAAAAAACAATATGCTATACTGCTTAAGAATTTACACAAAGGCCGAGGAGACAGCTCAGCAGCACAGCGCCTGCCTGGCAAGCACAAGGTAGAGTCTGATTTCCGCTACCAAAAAAAAAAAAAAATCACAATATAAGCATAAAAACACTGATGAGAAGGACTGACTTCGAGAGTTAGAAGTAGTTAACTCTGAGAAGGAAGTGTTAGAGATGGGATAACTAGAAAGATGTGTTCCTTTTCTGCAAAATTTATTTTCTTAAACATACAGGTCTGAAAATGCTAAAATACTAACATTTGTTAAATGTAAGTACTGGATACATAACTGTATGGTGTTATTTTTGATACTTTTTTGTAAGTTAAAATTATTTCCTAATTCAAAAGAAAAAAATAAACAATACATTGGCTTTTGTGATAAAGTACCAGCAAATCTGAAGATGTCTTAAAGTGTGAAGTATAAACAAAATTTATGGCTTAGTTCATGCTGAAATTGGTAAAAAGATTAATAGCCTTAAAAAATCTTTTTCTTAACGACTCGTAGGAAATGAGTAAGTTACATTTTGGAGCTTGTAACTAGTATTTCCCTTCCCGCTGCTTTAGACCGTGCAAGGCACACTACCCCAGGAAGGGAAGGTAGAAGGGAGACAGGAGGGGGGACGGTGAGAGCACGAGGCTGAGGATGAGGGTGTTTTCTTTTTCAATCTGTTGGTGAATTTTTCAGAGGTAACAAACAGAACTTATACGCTTTTATTGTTGAACTGGTGGTTAAATCTGAAAGACAACTCTGAGGTCACGAGTCTGAAGACAAGTATAAAGGTACTGGGAGCTCCAGAGTGAAAACGGAGATAGACGTAGGGGTTCTACTTAGCAGTCACTTCGCTCCACTTTTTCGCCAAAGCTTTTTGATGTGCTGCAGATGGAACAGAAGCCAGAGGAACATGCACCGAGACATGGTAACTGCAGCAAGCAATTTTTCAAGGCAAATCAAGATTTATACATTATAATTGTGACAAAGAATTGCTACAAATTAGGAGCAGGAAAAGGAAAGGTTAATAGTGTGATACAATGTACCCATCTGTTATGGTTTCCATCCAGACGTTCCTCTGAAGTGTCATGTGCTCACAGGTAGGGGAGTGGAGGGTTACTGGATCACAGGGGCGTGAGTGCCTCAGTGGATTAGTTCACTGACGAGTTTATAGCTAAACATGATGCTGGGAGGTGAAGCCTGTTTGAAGAGGCAGTCCCTGGGCTCAGCCTTGCAGAGTCTATCTCTTTTCCTCCTTGGTTACACTCTGCTTTCTGCCACCACACCACAAGCAAGGCCCCTCTGCGATGCTCTTCTGCCATGCCACCCTACCTTAGAGCCAGGTGACTACGGACTGAAACTTCTACAAACTGTGAGGTGAAATAAGCCTTTCCTCCTTTAGTGGGTGTTGAGCTTTCTGTCCCAGTGATGAGACAAGCAACCAAGACACCATCCTATAACCAAGGTTTTGCAAAGCAGACCCTTTCTGGGTGATGATTTCATCAAGCAGAAGAGGAAGTATATTTTGTAGTCCTTTCTGCTCCTCCCACATCTAAAAATCTCTTTGTAGATCATAATGCATTCATCTTCCCATTTTCAGTGGCAGAAAATCTGTCATTCAGTGAGTCAGCAACTCTAGAACTTAATTAGTTGTTACTAGGTTTGCAGTTTTGAACTTAGTATCCAAATTCTTGTCATGCAAGAAAATAAGTATCAGCCTGTTTGAGGAACAAAATGATGGTAGCCTTAAACCTCACACATAGTGCAAATATATATATGTGCTTATCAAAACAATAGATATATACTAGAGAAATGTAGTATAGATGGGTACACACTGATAAACTCATGGTAAATTTAAGATACCTTAAATCAAAATGCATTCGATACTCGCAGCCTACTGACAGAATACAGCTTAGTAACACATTGTACTATAGAATATCAATTGTGCACCCTCATGATCTGCTGACTTAAGAACTCTAGTTTCTTCCTCATAAGATGAATCAGTATTCATATACCTCATATCACCAGGCCAGGAAAAGATCAAAAGTTAAAACATGGTTTTTACAGAATGCATATCAGTTTTGTACCACTGTGAAACTGAAAAATCATAAATCCCATCACTATAAATCCAGAACTGCCTGTATATGTAAGATGGTACTCAATAAATATATAGCTATTTTATGTAACATAGTAACCAGTTGGATAAAATGTTAAAAATACAGTTTTTAATTCTAAAAATCCCTGAAGTGAAAACATACCCATAGTGATACAGTCTTCCTTGTATAAGGAATGGGACTGAAAGGTCTAGGAGCTCCAGGTCTTCAGGGCCAGATTTTACAGGAATAATACTATGAAACTCACTTGAAAGTTTACAGATTTCACCAAGTGTACCTCCTGTGAAAAAATAAACAAACTCAAGTAGTAAAATATGAGGTAGGTAAAATGGAGTACCTATAAAGTAACACCTGAAATACAGTAAATACTAAAGAGGTTGATAGATTAACAGAAGTCATAAGCATAGAGATTCAACACATTTATTTTGAAAAATATTAATTTGTAAATTTAGGATACAATGTATCAATTAAAAAAATCAGTACAAAACTGCTAAGGCTTGAGTAAAATATAAAGTTTGTGAAATCTTAACCATCTTCTTAAATATAAACTAACTGTTGCCAGGACACTTTGGTTCAAGTAAGCAAGAGTAAAATTAAAAGGCAAAAAGTATGTTAGGATTCTCATTATTTAATTTGCTATATTACTAATGCCAAAATAAGTTCAGTTTTGACTTTATTCTTTTAAAGTTTTAGGTCAACATTAAAAACAGACACGAAGAGCAGTTCATGTGACCATATACTCATATTTAATGAATTACAAAATAAAGAGAATTACTGACTACTTCTAAAGCATTTCTACAGCAGATTCTAAGGAAGAGAACAGCAATGGAATGAACATCCACATACTTATTTGGTAAAATATTACTGTGAACCTTTTTGTAAGGGTTCTTTTGAAGGAGATATCGGAAGAATGAGCAATGCAGGTTGTCCCCCTGAAAGTGAGTGGATCACATCCAATCAGCGGAATATCTGAGTCATAAGAGCCAACTGCCTGTGTGAGGGAGACTCTCCCCTGCCTGCCTGCTTTTGATCTGGACATCAGCTCTTTCAGGGTCTCCAGCTAGCTATCTTTTAGACTAATTATACCACCAACTTGTCCAGGCCCCCCGGGTGCTGACTCAGCATGCAGATCTTGGCAATTATCAGCTTCAATAGTCATGTGATCCAGTTCCTAGGAATGAATCTGATCTACTGGCTCGCTCTCTCTGAAAAAACCTGATAAACCATTAAGTTTTAAAAAGTTGATAACGGTAGAGAAATAACTCTCAGATGTTGCCAAAAGCGTGTGTGTGCACTAGGACAACTTTGCTAGGATGAGAGAGAGCAACGTTTGTCGCAATGAGTAAATGAACAGAGTAGTTTCTGACAACTCATATTTAAAGAACGGACATGTGAAAATGATGCCACTGTTCACACACATATGTACTGGTATATATCTATGATTATGTATTACTTCTATGAACAAAAATGTCAGCAATAAAAAAATAAAAGATAAGTTCATAAAATGAAAGCAAGTATTTATCTAATACACACTGAATTTCCTTTCATATGAAAGTTATATGGGGGGTGGGAATTTAGCTCAGCAGCAAAGTTCCTGCCTGGCAAGCACAAGGTCATGAGTTTGATTCCTGGTACCAGAAGAAAAAGAAAAGAAATACATGAAAGTTATATGGGAGGAAATGTCAGGGTAAAAATATGAAACTTTAAATTTGGCCTAAGGAAAGATGTGTGGTATATATTAATACTAGATGGAAATTACACAAAAATGGAAATGAAAAAAGAATACATAATCAAATTTCATCCTTTTAAAACCTGTCAAGGGATGGCATTTGGATAGTCTCTTCTTTGACTTAAGACTTCAACTGACTTTCATCCTCTTTGTATGAAACAACAGTGACATCCAGAGGCCGAGACACTCGCAGCTGTACATAGGCAACCACCACCTTTACTTTTCACCAACACGGAAGTGACAAGGTTATATGCAGAAATCCAACAAGATGAATAAAGGTAAATACTTGAATTTAATGTATCAATTAAAAATATAATTCAGTTCAATATATATGTGCATATATTTGAATCTTCACATATTCCACTTTATAAAATTTTTACTTTATATGCATTAGGTTACCTATAAAATATATTATACAGCAATATATTTGAAAAGCGTGCAAAAAATCATTCTAAAAAGATGGGTACTTAAATATCTTACCTTCTATCAAAATGAGACACACACTTGAAAGTGGGAGAACACCGTTACGTTTTACAAAATGAGTCACAACTTTTCGTCCTCCCTGATCCTCCGTGCTCCAGACTTCTGAATCATATAAGGGCGTATTTTGTAATTTGGTATCTGGAGTTTTACTTGCTCCATCTCTTAAAATTATATCCAAATCGTTCTCATGTGGAACTTCTTGCCTAAAACATTACCATGAAGTATTAGAAAATGATTTTTATGCAACCTAAAAAGTTCCGATTTAACAAACTCTCCACTTAAACACCAGCTCTGGACTTTCTTTTCATGCACTAAGAAGGCAACTCATTTGTAAACTACATGACTTTTATTTATATTTTGCAGCACAGCAGATCTGCATCACAATTACATTAACCACTGACACTTTCCACACCTGCTTCTGATGACGAAGCTACACGCAACTATTCGCAGTACTGATCTGCTTTGGTCTCTAGACAAAGTAAAACTTCTTAGTGGGAAAAAACTGCAGCAGCTTGCTGTCCTCACTCCATCTCATCTCACTTTTCTCAGGCATTTACTGTAAACCAGCATTCACTTCAAATCCTTTTAATAGTATTTTGAAAAATCCCATGGAGAAAGCATCAAGAATGCAAAAGGCGGGCTGGGGATTTAGCTCAGCGGCAAAAAGCACCTGCCTGGCAAGTGCAAGGTCGTGAGTTCGGTTCCCGGTACCGGAGAAAAACCAAAAAAAAAAAAAAAAAAAAGAATGCAAAAGGCACCGTTTAGGGTCTATTATCTTCATTCTGCTTCTGTCACTGTCCTTGGGAACTCTCAATTTCTCTGAGATGCTCTGTTTCTTAAAGGGAGATCTATGTAAGTTTATAGAATTTAATGAACTAAAATTTGATAATACTTCAAAAATTGTGTAAAGCTATTACATGTCTTTAGTCCTAACAACCTTAACTGCCTTTTTAAGTTAAAAATGAGTAAAAATGTAGGTCCTTCACATTTTATTTAGCGATTTGGTGAGTAAAAGTCTCCCCAAACAAAGTGACAGAAATTCTGTATTATTTTTATTGTTTTTGTGTTGTTTTGTTTATGTCTTTGTGTTTGTTAATTTGTTTTTGTTCTTTTCTGTTTAAAATAAAAAGTCTCCCCTCAAAATGGTCATGAATACTATGTAAATATATAAACACATGGAGGTGTCTAGATACAGCTACACAGGGAAGCACACTATAGTGAAGAGTAGATTTATGGCATTCAGATGTATATATATATATATATATAAATTAACTACAATTTCTAAAACATTTTATAGTTAGACAGAAGATAGTCAAGTTGCATTACAAAGATAAATATAAGCTAAAATAATTTTCTGAATTTGTTTGATCTGTACACATATTAATAAGATCACAAAACAGGTCTATAAATTTACTTACATATTTATATAAAACATGGTATTTAGAATTAAGACTTTAAGGCACCAAGAAATTTTCTATTACTAACAAAATTGAAGTTGCACTTACTACTCATCTATTGTAGTTCTTAAGCAGAACACAAGTATTTCCATTACTAGGGTTATTTTTGAAGAAGGCATTTTTGTGACAAGAAAGAAAGTCCCCGCCTATATATTCCTAACTTAGTATTCCCATTTGCTCTGATTAGAGTGACTCATCCAAATTTCAGATCTGAAAATCCTGTTTTTATTTACTCTCACTAAGAATAAAATGGAAGGATTTATTAAGAATTTAATACTTTTAAAATGTTACTATTCTTCCAAATTATTATACACGAGTCACACCTTACTCATTTTCAAGACTTAAAACTTTATATATGCAGGTATATACACAAATACTATAATATGAACGAAAACTGCTTTACTTTGAAAAATACTTACAGAGAATGACATTTAGGACAATAAAGTTTTACAGATTGAAAAAGTCCTTTGGGCTTATATGATCTTAGTTTTGCTCGGATTCGGTATTGCTGAGGAGCTTTTTGTTTCAGAATAGCACATAATGGTGTCTTCTCCAAATAGTGATGGTCAGTAAGTACTGTAAAGAATTTTTATATTAAAAAAAATAATGTCTACACGTTTTAAGTATAATCATGACTCATCCCTGTTAACCAAATATATACTACAAAATCTAAGCTCTATTAACTGTTAATTCCACAAAAGCAAAGGTTATATCAGCAATACTCACAAACACCAAGTGAGGCACAGTGAGAACTCACAAATCTATTGAACACATGCTGAATAACTGGGGTAAGAAGGACTTAACTGCCTAGTGAATGTAAAACAAATATTTTTATATGGGGCGAATAGAAATACTTCCTGGCTAACTCAGGGAAAACAGTAAGGTTTATTTCACAAAGTAAATACATGGGTTACTTGAGAAATATTTTCAAATGTTCACTAAAATACTGATCTCTGAGACATCTCTGTTAGGTGACAGCCTAAGTTCTAATTACAATGTGTTCAAAAGAATATAAGAAAATATATTTGCTAAATATTTACCAGCTAGCCTCTTCTCCCTGTGAGTTCAACTTACAGACTTTATTTAACAATCACATATAATAAAGGAACTTCAAAGCAGAAAGGGACATTCAGCTTCAAGCCATTTATTTTTGGCAGGAGGACTACATATATGCATGCTTCACATGGCATCACATCCAGAGACACATACCTGTGCTTCCCCCAAACACAGACCCAATGTGTTCAGTGGTTAAGGTCGCGTGTAACACCCTTCCCTCCTATAAACTCCTTTTTCCCGGGTACTGAGGAGTGAGCTCAGGGCCTTCACAGAGTCACACCCCAAGACCTTGCTTTTTATTTTGAGACAGGGTTTCGTTAAGTTGCTAAGTTCCCTCAGCTGGGCTCACACTTGCCACCCTCCCGCCTTCGCTTGTAGAGTGCACCAGCACATCAGGTTTCTACTTCAGAGTTTCTGTTTCCCCCTTGTAATTAGTGGGGAGGCACTTGGGAAAATGCAATTACCCTATTCTTTATAAATACTTAGGGTACCAGCAGGTTAGGATCCACTGATTCCCAACTAAGTCAGTAATTATGTCCGTACCAACAGGTTAGGATCTACTGATTCACAACCAAATTAATTACTATCATGGTTGCAAACTGGTGATATTTTTCCAATTTCATGCCATTTTACATTTATTAGTTGTCCTTCTATTAAGGAAATTTCCCACTGAACCTAACTAACTTACCTTTATTTGCAACATGGGCTCATGCATTCCCATTTTATTCAATAAGTTCTAATTCATCACTAGTAATATTTATTTTCATGCTCAAATGGTCCCAGATTTGATATGTTCTATCATTAACTGAGAATTCCCTTACTTTCTGAATGTTCCAGATTGATCTTGTAATTCTGCTGCCCACCCTAAGAATCTGGTATTTCTCCAAGAATTCCTAGGGTATTATTTATAAACCAAGATCCATGAACTAAGTATGCTTATTGTTACTGGAGTTGTATCGGGTCTGTGCATTGGCACTGTCATATACAGGTAGCGATATGTACACAGAGGTTTATACTAATACATACCTACCCAGCTGCACTTATACGTGTATTGGTATATATGTATAACACATAAATACACACATACACATCTGTAACTATTTCTGTATTTACCTATTAAACCATGGGCACATGGTACCTTCAGTTCTAATAAAAGTTTTTATCCAGTTTTCTTTCAGTTTATACTTTTATCTGTTTTGTGAAAGTGAAAAACTCACATTATAGTACTATAATTATTTAATTAATTTGTGCTTTAAAACACTTTTCTGAAAAAGTACTTTATTTTAGCTGAAGTAATGATCACTGTTTATATTAGTTTTGAGGTATATTGTAAGTCACTCATTTATGTGTACACCATTCAATGCATAGTGTGAGTTGGTTACAAATAATATCATAAGAGTATATTTTATACTTCCAAACTAAAAATAAGCCCCAATATACTATTAAATAGTACTGTGCTATCTTTCATAAACCTTAGCGACAGGTCTGCATGGACTGCACTTATGCCAGTACAGAATGAGGCAGAGCACTAGAAACCAAATACAGACGTATTTTTGCCCTTGTGGACATCTACTATCACTACTAATTAAAATGGAATTAGTTGGTAAGTGTAAAGGACAAACTTTAATAAGCTCATTACTGTATTGTGTCTTATCTCAACAGCGATATGTGGTCTTACTTGTAGCCGACAGTTGTTGACATCTTTCTACCTCACACAGTGACACTGATCCAGAGCCTAGAGGAAGGAGAAAAAAAAATTACACGGTTTTAAAGTCAACTACAAATTTAATGTGACACTGAGAACAATAAAACCCCGGTGAAAGAAACCAGATGAAATCTAAATAAACGAGATATGCTATCTTCATGATGTGGAAGGCCCAATATTGTTAAGATATGTCCCCCAAATTAATTTGCACTGTCAATGCAATCATAATCAAAATAGCATGGGCATTACTACAGAAACTGAAATGTAGATTTTGTCACTTAAGTGAAAATACAAAGAATCTAGAATACTGATCAAAATCTTGAAAAAGAACACCACAGGATGTACGTTACATGACATAGTATAAAACTACAGTAATCAGAACAATATAGATTGGTAAAAAGACTGACAAATGAATCAACAGAAGTAAGTAGCAAGCCTAGACATAATCCCACATTTACACAGTCTTTTCATTTCTGAATACAGGCACTAAGACAATGCACAAGGAAAATTACATTCTTTTCAAGAAATGGCCCTGCAAGTACCTGAAATTAACATGAGGAACTGCATATTCTACACTAATCAGCAATGAATGGAAAAAATAAAGAAAAAAACATATTATTTGTATCCACTTGATAGTTGACAAGATACCAAGACCAGGTGTACATCTATACAGCCTTTATATAGTGCTACAAAATTAGAAATTTCACTTTAAAAGAAAAATATCTCATATTGTATCATAACATAGTGAAACGGAATTACTGATATATGCAACAGTGTAGATCAATCTCAGAAACTTATAGTCTGTAGATTCCATTTATTTGGAGTTCTGAAACAAGAAAAGCTAAAGGGCTTTGGATTACACAAATTACTGTATTGGTCAAAACCTATGGAATGGTACATTATATGGCAGCTTAGCGGTCATTTTACTGCATGTAATTTCACCATAGTTACTTACACCCATACTATTTAAGACATGTACTAACATCTTCAACTTTTTTTGAAATGCACTATAAGGTAATATGGATGGGCAACTAAACAGAGAAATACAGAAACAGGTATATAAGAAGCAAGCAAACAGAGGAAAACGTGAAATGGAGAATCCAGGTGATCAATATGCGTGTTGAGTGAGCAACTGCTGTACCTTTTCTGCATGTTTCAACATTATTATGTTGTAAAAATATACTGTGTAGGGAATGAATGCAGAAGTAGATAAATACTAAGCTTATTAAAAACAAGACAATGAATCAAAGAACAGCAAAACTTTACTTAAAGTACAAATCATAGCAATAATTTGCTTTCTAACTTGCAAAGTGAAGAATTTAAAACTTAAGTGTATTTTCTAACTGCTTTAGCTTATATTCTATTACGTATACTAATATATTGTTAATACATTTCATGTGATATTATGCGCACAGTACATGTATGACTAGTTCTTCTTCAGCATCAGTCATAAATGGTAAAACAACTCAAGGTAAGAGAATCTGAAGGGACATCTCAAGCTAAACTAACATGGTATGATTTCAATGAATCTTATTTATTAGTAATTATCACCTTATCATGAGGTAGAATCAATACAGAAACCACAAAAGTAGTAAAGATATGAAATAAATGTACAAAAATACATGTAAAATGTACACATGGTCTCTCATAAATAGGTAATCTAACATAAAATCAGATAAAGGTTAAGAGCAGATAATTCAAAGCAAAAAGAGTAAAAAAAAGCTATTAAACATGTAAGAGTTTCAAATTTCCAAGTAGTCTGCAAAATTTGATAAGGCATTACAGTTTACCTGCCAAAGTATCAAAATGTCACACACATTATTAATCTCCAGTATTACAAGGGTGTAAGTAAAGCATATCTTACATGCTATTCAGGAATAAATTCCTATGCCCTTTTGTTGAAATGATCTTAAAACATCTATCAAAAGAAAATATATGCTTGCACTTTGCTATAGCAACCCTACTTTTAAGAGTTTAAGAAAAATAAAAGCACAGAAATGTATAGTCCAATGATTTTTAAAACATTACATATAAAAGGAACACACTGCTGACAACCTAAATGGTTATCAGTTGGAGAATGGCTGAATACTGGTTTGCCCATATTATAAAATATTAAGGAATTTTTTTTTTTTTTTTTTTTTTGACATAGGGTCTCGCTATGTAGTTCAGGCTGGCCTTGAACTCACTATGTAGCCCAGGCTGGCCTCAGACTCACAGCAGTCCCTTCCTGCGTCAGCCTCCTGAGTGTTGGGTTTATAGGTATGTACCACCATGTTCAGCAAGGAAATATTCAAAAACGGAGTTTGAGCCATGTCAGTCAGCCTACAGAGAGGTCTATACTATATTAAGGAAAACAACGATTATAATATGATTCCATTTTGTTAAACAGGAAAATGAAGATTTTGAAGGAATCACCTCAAACAGTTTACCTCATTTCCAGGAGTAAGCTGTACAGGGCATACAGGCATAGAGAAATCGGTTCCATTTGATATAAATTATGACATGGATTACTTTGTAATTTAAACATGATAAAATAATCTTTTTAAAAGAGAAAAGAAATCCTGAAAAACATAATTATAAAATACACTGTCTCTAAATGACTATAAATTGGACTACACTGGTGTCCCAGGAGTACTACAAGTCAACATGTTCCGGCTAAAATGCCATCATTAAGGTGTTAGGAAACAGCGAGCTGTATGGTAGAATGAAGAAATAAACTACAAATATATACGAAAAGTTCCGGTATCTGAATTTGACTTCTTTGTCATCAGTGAACAGCTAAGTAACCGTGGGCAATGAAATGACGCTCATCTCTCAAAGCCTCAGTTTCCTTGCAGTGAAAGGAAGAAAATAACGCATTTTATGGGACTATTACTAGGATTAAGTAACAGTGCATGCAGGCACCTGCTGAGCACCTACATTAGAAGATACATATTCTCGTTTTTATGTTACTGCTATTAGAGAAGAAACACCCACAAAATGGGCTTTTAGATCACAGAATAGTACGAGTTAAATTGTAAAAAAAAAAAAAAAAAAAAAGATTAAAAATTTAACTTAGATTCAAGGATTTAGAATGTGCAACGAGATATTAAAATAAGTGTAAAAAGGAAAAAAATGCTGCACATTGAGAGTTTTAAAGCTTAGATTTGAGTAGCTAAACACTCAGACAAAAATATACACATTACTGATTATTAGTATCTTTAATTAGATAGTTGATTAATTCAATAGCTGGAAACTGTACATCTCTTTCAGCTGGCAGGAGTAAATAATACCTGGAATGTTTGAAATATAATAGCACAAACATTCTTTTTCTTAGAAGCTGACTAGTAAAATAGCTACCTAGGAAATAAAGATTTTTTATGAATGCATATGCATTATATACAATCATAAATCAAGTAACACTACCTGTCTAATTTGAAAATGCAATATATATTTAGAGAGGCATCATGTTCACCTTCACATAAAATACAGGTGTTTAAGGTGTTCGTTTATAACATATGGATATGAATTAAAATAGTGAGCTAGAAGAAGACGTTAACAAAGGCCGTTATGTTGAGAAAGCCGTTTTATTTAGCAGGAACTAAATCATCAATTATAAAAACTGTCTTTACTTGAAAGGGTGAGAAAGCTGTCCTCGTGGTCTGATTGACAGATGCCGTCTGAATGCTGAGGGGCTGCCAAATCTGCAGACTGTAAATCTCTAAAAGTGAAAGAATACCATTTCAAATCACTCAACACTAAGCACGGTAAGTACCTGAAAACTTCAGGAGTTCACTGAAATTGTTCATACAATTCTCTGTGTAGTCTTTAGTACAGTCTATAGCTTTTACCAGCTTACATGAGGTTCCAAGGTCCTCAAGTTAAAAACCTGAGGTTAAAAACACACAACTAGAACAAGTGAGACAGTAGAAGATTGCAAATAAGAACAAAATGTGATTTAATGGGTGAAATTCTGAGTCAGAAAAATCTCACTGTAGATACAGTAAATGAAGTACTGCATTGCAATGTAAAAAATTGCTACATATGGCAATGTAAGAAATTAGTAAAATGAAGCTTCTTAGTCATGTCATTTCAATTTGTAGAAGAGTGTACTTTATCTGAAGTCATCTATACACTCTCTCTCTCCATGCATATGTATGTACATATATACAGTATATAGAAATAATTTATATTTCAATTCCTCTGGAATATTGGTGAAAATGTTTCTACACCCAGTACCTACTAGGAATTCAATTACCTTAAGAAAAACAAAATTAAATATATAGCAACTTTTTTTGGTTTTCTGAGACAGGTCTCACTACGTAGTTCAGGCTGGCCTTGAATTTGCAGCGATCCCCTGCCTCAGTCTCCTGAGTGCGGAGATTAGAGATGTGTACCACCACATCTGGCTCAAGATTTAAGATATTTAACGTTCCAAACACATGTGAAAATTTAAAGCATTTTATAAATTTTAATGAAAATGATATCTTAAAACACTGCCATTATTTATTTAATTAGAAGTACTTTAAAAAATACTTTTTCTTCATGGTTGTATTCAGCATATTTTAGAATTCAAGGCAGGACTCAAGTTTTCCAAACTTTGGCTAAAATCTCATTACTATTGTGTGTTGCTCTATTTAATGTAACAAATGATAGAAAAAGAGGATGAGTGTAAAAGATTGTAACTGTTTCAAAATTTAGGGTACAATCCTGGCTCTACCGCTAGTTAATGACTTGAACTTTTAATAACTTGATTTGTTTCATTAGGCTTATCTATTAAAAAATAATGGAGACTGGCATAGAAAGCTCTGAAGATCAAACAAGAAACTTCAGAGACCTCCAGAAACAATATTATCTTGGAAATTAGCTTAGAGAATTATATTCCTGTATACAGAAACAGGTATATAAAATGCTTACTTCTTCAGCTGCTCCACATCAGAATTACTTTCCGGTAAGACTGTGATTCCCCGCCCATAGCTGGTGCCTCCATGGAGATGAAACTCCAGGCTTAATGATGCCTGGCTTTCAGAAGACACTGACTGCAGTTTGGTATGGAGGCTGTAGATTCTAAGAAAGCTCCCAACCTGAAAATAGATTATTCATTATTTAGAAAAAAGGAGAAAACACTCAGTCTCTGGTATTTGAAATTTTACAACCAATGTGGGGCATTGACCAACTAGGGACAGAACCAGAAAAAGACATTAGGTTGTATCAGTGTGGCTGAACCTCAGCTGCAATGATTCTGTATCCAAATCAAAACATGCATGTACGTGCAGACGCACACACCTGTACACGTGTGCACAGACACATGCTGTGGAATGTCCTATTTCAGACATACTAAAATGTGTAAAACAAATGTCATAGCATCAATTAAATATAGTAGTTGAGCAGGCTAATTATTTAAGTGAAATTTAAGAATAACTTCTTATAAAGCAGGATTAAATATGTTCACTAAAATACTTATACAAAGCAAAAAATGTAAATGTACAATTTATCAAAAGTATAAACTTCTATCTCACAAGTTTATGGAAGGAAACTTGTATTAAAGCATTTGTAGGGTGTCACCACACCCGTAATCCTAGCACTAAGAGCGGCTAAGAAGGAGGATCCCAAATACAAGTCCTATCTGGACAACCAGCAAGATCTTGTCTCAAAATAAAATGTGAAAAATGGCCATAAGGAAGGATAAACTTGAGTCATTTGTAGGGAAATAGGTGTATCTCAAGACCATAATGTTAAGTAAAATAAATCAGACACAGAAGCTTAAATATTGCACGGTTTCTCTTGTATGAGGAACCCAAAATAAAAGAGGAAAATAAGAGACAGAGAATAGGAAATAGGGAGACAGGTCTTTTGCAAAAGGGAAAGAGACCAAGATATGGAGGGAGTGGGGAGAGAGAAGAGGAGAACGGGATGAAAGAGAATTAGGATGTGTTACATACACGAATCAACTGCCCAGTGGAATGGAAGCTTCGTGTAAAGACGTAATAAGAAAAAAGTACAAACTGACAAAAACTGGACTGGAGATTTAGCTCAGTGATAAAGGGCCATCCCCAGTACCACAAATCAACACAGCTCACTCTAAATTCAACACAGAATTAAACCAGGGTTTTGAATTGAAGTTTTTATTTTTCCAGTACTAGGACTGCACCCATAGTGCTCTATCACTGAGCTACAATCCTTCTTGTACTGTATTGTCTTTTGTTATGAGAAAGGGTTTTGTCAAGTTGTTCACACGGGAATGAAACTTGCAATCTCCTGTCTCCGCCTCCCTCACTGCTGAGAGTACAGGCATGAGCCACCACACCTGGTTTGAAGCTAATACTCTACAGTTAATCTGAAATGTTTTGCTAAACTGTCTAAAACCATCCTAATTACAGAATTTGGTATTTTCTTTCAATGAAGATTTCAAATGAGAAACATAGAATGATACTCAAATATACTGGTATTTACCTAAAGGAAGAAGCAATCTAACACTATTTTTTAAAGTTTCATACACAAAAGGTCTTAACAAACTGGGATGTTTAATTCATTTGCACAACAGTGCCCCTGACACCTTGATGACTGACAAGATACTTTTCGCTTTCTAGCCTGTAAGTTTGGGACAACAGAGGTAAAATCATGTGCCAGAAAAGCTATATAGAAGGGAATATAACAACAACAAAAAAGATGAGCAGCAAATCAACCCTCCGCCTCTGCTTAGTATACAGGAAATGCAAAAAAAAAAAAAAAAAGGAAAGAAGGTAACATTTATTTTTCTCATGGTCTTCAAAGTGAGAGACTGGCAATAAACACAGAAATTTCTACTGTTATCATTTTTAAAGGTTTATTATTTTTTGGCTTCTTATATACATATATATGTATGTGTGCATAAAACACAACAGCGTCTATAATCTAACAAAGGACTTGAACAAAGGCCTAAACATGTGGAGAAAAAACATATACTCATAGACCAGGGATTTGATGAAATAAACATCATAATTTTAAATTCAGTACAACTTCCATCCAATTTCTCAGTGTCTTTCCTGGAGCATGAAAAGCTAATCTACAAGAGTATATCAAAGATCATAGCCAAATCAACTCTAAAGACAGGAAGAATGACTGCCTTGCCCTACTGAAATGTACATAAATGTCCATATATACATAGGAGTATATCCTTACATGTTCAGATACAGAGCCTTAAGAAGCACAAAAATGAGGTGAAGTAGTGATAAAAAGAAGGTTCAACATGTGTTTTAATTTAAAAGTATGTTAAATGAAATGGCAAGACATTTAGAACTGTTTAAATGGCGCATGTGTTTGTTATACTATCTTTTCTACTGTTACACTTATTTTAAAAAGGTAAAGGCAAGGATAAAATCAATTTGCACAAATAGGCAGTAAAGGTAACAAACTGTTATAATCAGAAATTCCTTCTGGAGGCAGCATTGCATTTTTTTAAAGCTTGACTATATTATGAAATGTACCTGATGCTCTACTAAAAAAAGAAATTGTTTCTTTGTCTTGCCAGTAATGCAATACAACTCCAAAAATACAAGTGAAGGGATGATAATAAAAATTATAAAAATATAATTTAAAAAACTTATTAAAAAGTCAATTTCAGTACAGAAACATTCCTCAAAAAAGAAAAAAAACAAAGCATGTATGGCCATAAGAAGGCATTATTCCTATAGAAACAATCAAAATATATTTCTCCAGTTTAATGTTTTCAGTTTCGTGCATACAGCTAAAAATAGCCAAACTAAAGCTAGGGGATCAACAAAGGCCAAAACATTAACGGTGACTATGTACAAAGGGTGACTGAAAATATACTGAAAAAACACACTGCCACAAAGGACAGGATAAATGTCATGGTTCGAAGCAAAGGGGTGAACTTTGAGAGGGATTGATGATAATGCATGTTGTATTGTAATAAATTTTTAAAAATTTAAACATTTACTGTATCTTTTGACAACATCATGTATGTTTCATAATTCTTTTCAAAACTTTCAGTAGGAAAACATGGACTTAAAATATGACTTTAACTTCCACACAAAAGGCTTGAAATGTCATTTTGTGTCTGCAAGTGTGCGTAAAATGTTTTAGGAATGACATGACAATCATACTTAAAAATCAAGATTTAGAAAAGAATTAAAGGTTATTTAACCTTTACAGCGAGCTGCAAAATAGAAATTGATTACACTTTACTGTGTGACTGCACTAACGATCCCCTTTATTAAGAAAGTTTTCCTGTTCCTGTGCAACACACATTGAACGGGTCCCAAATGTTTGATATAAAAATGCAAATTTAAATATTTTCTTGATAAAAATTCATTTGTATCCATGTCATGTAACGGATTTCCTAAAGTAATGTCAGTGTTAGAGGCTGTCAGAAAATGTGATGTCCATGTACATTAGAAAATAGCCTAAAGTTATATCACAGAAAGTTACACACAGAAGTTCCATGTACAAAATTCTTTGCACTTTTATATTGTGCTGCATATAAATAACGTTAATTGTTTAGAAAGAAACAATGTGCTATAAATACATTCTCAATTGTGAATGCTCCTAACACCCTCTAGTGGACAGACCATTAAGGGGAAACAGACCCATGGAAATCCCATTATGCTTTTCTTTTGAAGTAAACTAATAATGACAATAACACTTTTCAGTTGAAAAATGCTAAAAGTATATCTAGAAAAATTTTTCCTGAGATGTCATGTTACACATACGTACACCCACACACATTTACAGAAGACAAAAAAGTGTAGTTACTATCTTCCTTGGCCCCAGCTTTAACCTAATTTATTGGTGTGAGTTGTGCAAGCTTATTTGTAATAGAATTTAGGGTGGAAATATTTTCTTTTTGGTGAGCATTGTCTTAAAAAGGAAACTTGGGCACCAAAATAAAGACTTGTACTTTGACTATTTTTCTTTTAACTGCCTATTATTTCTTTTAACTAAGCAGGCTGAAAGCTATTACAATAAAGAAGATTCTTTCCTTTTAATGCACAAAAGAATTAGCTCCAGAAATAGGCATTGTATATTCACTGCTGGCATCACCCAATAGTTGAGAGATCTTAGGACAATTCACCTAACCTCTGAACGCTTCATTTTCTCATTTATAAACTGGGCAGAGGAGAGGGCTTCTCCACAGGACAGTACCTGATACATCCGAAGGTGTGCCTACCAAATGTGGATATTTATAGCACCATTATTTGCTACAAAGGACATGTTCAAATAAAAGATGCAATAACTGGCAGAAAAAATACTCCTTACAATCTCTGTTCCTAATTAAATAAAAACTGCATACCTAAGCTGTGTACTTACCTAAAAATTCTAATCAAATTCTCAAAAGCAGTAAGAAAACTTCATGAACTATACAGTACACACATTCCTTTACTTAATAATATTTATGACAGGTGATTTAACAATTTCTTCAACAGTACAGAGTTACCATGTATTCTATCAAACCAATTAAAATAGCTTAAGTTAACAAGAGTTTACACGTCTTTGTCATTTTATAGCAGTGTATCGATGTTTCTTAAAAGTAAAACTATACATGGATATAAAATATTTAGAGAAGATTCAGTTTTAAAAAACTGTCCCTTTCATAATATCTTACAATAATGTATTCAGATAAATATTTTATAATTGAATAATTCTGGAAAAAATAAATTTGAAGTAAATTACAGACATATAAAACTTACATAAATATAATCATTATTTACCAAAACTTATACGACCAGCAATCACAAAGGTAATACATATATATATATTATATATATATATATTTTTTTTTACACACATATATAAACATAAAGTAGTAAACATTTGTGCCAACTCAACATCACCTTCAGGGACTTTGCCACTTGAACATGGTTATCGTAGACTAAAATGTCTACTGTAAGATTCTGTAGCCGACGAATGTGACTTAGGTCCCCTTCAAGAACCTCGTTTTCTATTAAGACTCTCCAAGATGGAAAGGGTGTCCTGGTGCCATCCCATACCTGCCACAAAGGAAGAGCAAAGTTTCAGGGTCTTTCTGAAACAAAAATCACTGGTGTGAAAGAATTTTCTCATAATGGTATTAAAAATAACTAAATATGCACCTTTAAATATCTGTTAATGGTAAATGTTAACTAAGAGTAATGTAAAAAATTTAGAAGAATGTAAAGAAAAAGGTCGCCCTCCTATAAAACTACACAAAAGGTTAACATTTTGTTACTTCCTCTTTTTTCTTCTGTTTGCACACATGATACATATATCTGCAATAAATTATACTCTGCATGTATCCTTTTAATACTGAATACTTTATCAGGCAATGAATATTATTCTAAAATATGGTTTTCAGTATTTTAACATCATTTTATGATAGAGATAGAAATTTATTGGAGCACCCTTTATGAGATGGGTTGTTCTAAACTTTTGCTATTTTAAATAACTCAGGGGCTGGGGATATAACTCACTGGTAGAGCGCTTGGCTAACAGGTGTGAGCCCTGGTTTCAATTCCCAGAACTGCAAAACAGTTAACTACGGAATTGCCATCTTGTATCTAAACGCTTTTCAGTACTCTGCTAAGTTTCTTAAATTCTTAGCCTGCTAGAAATGTATTCTGACTTCTGCAAATTTTTCACTTTGTTCTGATTTAGAAAAGCTCTTTCTTTTCAAAGGACATACTGGAACACTTTACTCACCATTTGATTTTAAAAACAGAAATGAGTGAAATTAACAAGTGCTGGGAAAGGAAGCTGTATGCTCAACTGTCCCGAGGTACACTGAGACGCTGGGATGTGGGCAGAGAATAAGCATGCACTTCCTACAGGACAAGTCAGCCTGGGCTATGCTTGGGTTTTAAGAGATGACGTGCTGTGCTATAAAAGGGCATGACAAAGGACAATGGTGTGAGATAGAAATGTCTCTGCATGTAAGAAAAAGCTTGCATCAACAAGAACAAACAGGCTATTTGAACGAGAAACACTAGATTTTTGTAGAAAAGTTCAGATCAGTGACAGATCAGTGTCAGATCACAGGGGAAGTATAATCCTGGGAGAGCAAGACGTTTCAAATAAACAATTATGTTATGATCAGCAATGTATGTCGCAAGCATTTCTCTCCATTTAGACTTCATTATTTGAATACAGTGTTTTTTGACTTTAACATTTTGGACTTTACAGACCAATCCAACAGTCCCTAGGGATGGGGTGAGAGGGTAGAGGGTTGCTATATTGCTTTTATGGTCCAGTTGCAATTGTCTAGAAATCCTAAACTAGGCACATACACATACACAGCTCACCCTCAAAAAATACAGGCCCCCTGAAAAAACTTGGAGATCAATCACATAAACTAGAAATATATACGTATAAAAAGTTAGATATGCCTTGAATATACAAGATACATGCAGATAAAGTGATTTTATAGCACTTACTATTAAATATATACAAACCTATTACAAAATATGTGTTAAACAGCTGTAAATAAGGCTTCTTCTGGCCAATAGGCAGCCATTAATAGCTAAGTTTGGGGGGGAACTCAAAAGGTACATGTAGAATTTCCCTATATCCTGCACCTTCAGAAGCATGCAAGTATGTATATCTAAATAATTTTAACTCTGGAACTTCTATAATAGCATTTCAAAACTCAACTGTTGGGTATTCATATATAATATAGAGATCTGATTCTTTATTTTCCAAATAAATAACAACCATGATTCAGCCACCTAACCTTCCTGGAGCAAACTGAAATCTTTATGATATTTTTATCATGTAGGTTACATGTACAATGTTAGACTGTTTCTTAGGTTCCTACTCTTCTCCATTAATCAACCTTATTGTAGTATTAATTGCTGTAGTATTGTATGTTTTAATATCTGATGTAGAAGCCTAAATTAGCATTGTCAACTGTTTCTTCTTTAATTCTTGATCATTTACTTATTCTCTGTAATAAACTTCAGAATGAGTTTATTGGACAGATAATTTTAATGAAAAGTGTATTTTATGTAAAATATTTAAGAATAAAAATTCCCTTAATACTTGTTTTATGTTCTTCGGTAATGTTTTATAACTTTCTTCATACAAGGTCATATATTTCTTGCAATAACTTTGTTTCACAGTTTCACTGCTGTTTTGAAAGGCCTTTTGTTCTAGTATATGTTACTTTTATTACCAATACACAAAATACCCTGTTTTAAGAAAGTTTTAAACTGCATATGTCATTGAATATTATTAAATTCAAATTAATTCAAAGTTTTTCAATTAAAATTTAAAATTTTAACATCTTAGAAATACTACCTTTTATTGTTTTTTCAAAAGTTAAATCTCTTATTTGTTTATTGATGTCATTGAGACTTTTTTATTTTGACAAAAAAACACAATAAAATAACAACAATGAAGACAAAAACAAAGCAATACAAAAACAATAAAAATGATACAAGATTTCAAAACAAGATGACAGGAATTAACAATGGTTGTTACATTACCTGTTGTTATCTTCAACAAAGTTGCTCAGATTATCAGCAAGATTGATCGAACAATTAAAGACAATAACAAGCAATAAGAAAACATTAAAATGATACAGAGCTTCATTAATGACAGAAACAAGGCAAAACTTTCTACTGTTTTCTCTATTTGTGATACTGTTCAAGAAAAGAATTTGTTTTTCTCTTGACCAGTTTTACATGTTAATCAGAACAACTAACTTGAAGACAACAATACGAAATATAACAACCATTGCTGAATTCCTACCATCTTCTTTAATGAAGCCCTGTATCACTAGATTATGTAGGATTCCTTGTAAAATTGGATGAATTTCTATTGCTTCAGTTTCAGCTTTGTCATACTGGCATATTTAACTTTGCTTTAGAGTATGCATTTACTTTGTCATAATAGTCTTGTGCGTATAAAAAGGTGCTAGCTTCAATTTCAAAAACTCTGTATCTTACTCATTGATTTCTATTCTTCACTCATTGTTTCTTAATGTGAGATCATGCACATATCACAGCTAAACCAAAAGGTGTATCCAAGTACCATGACACTCTGTTCTTTACCCTGTATTGTAAATAGACAGCAGAGAAATAAACACAGGACCACAGTTGAAGCAGTGCTGCTCAAATGCATCTTCTGTAGAATGCTAGGGCAAGGAATATAACAACTATCTTTTCAACAAGTTGTTCATCAGCAAAGCTGGGGAACATGCAAATAAAGATTAAAGGGGTTATGTCAAGGGGTTACTCACTTAGTTAAAAACAAAAAATTAGTAATAATTATAAATATTTTAAAATTATCCATGCCATGCCCACAAAGCAGACAGAGAAGGATATGGGAAATCCAACTTAATAGGCCATCAAAGTAAATGAGTAACAAAGTAAATGACCTTGAGAAGGAAGCAGAAAATTTGTATACAAAATTACAACTTAAAAAGGAACAGTAGAAAATAAATTTATATTTTATTTCTAATAATAAAGCATACTATCTTTAAAATGTAGATCTCATACTATTTTTTCTCTGAAAGTTCACTAAAGTAGAGCTGCATGAATACTGAGTCTCATCAAAATAGTAAGTTAAAATTTAAATCCTTAGTAGATATACAATATGCAAACTTATTCCATTAGAATATTGCAAGCTTTTATAGACACGCAGGTGGTACTAAATTAAAATTTCAAGTATTTAAAAATGTACCTTTAGTAGAAATGATGCTCCATCTACTTGTGCTTTGCCCAAGAGCTGACAAGTCAGGTCAAAATACTGCATTGGCTGAACATCATACAACTGCACTAATGTTGAAGAAGGTGGAATGTGTGTAGATGCCCAAATTCGTAAGGCTTCTACCATTTTATGGTCTGCATCAGTGAAGTGAAAATACTTGCTTGAAGTACGAGGTAAGACAGGAGCTCCCAAGGTTCCCTCAAATGTCAAAGATGCAAATCCAGAGCTGGTGATACCCTGAGGCTCATTTTTATATACTTGGATCTAAGAAAGTTAGGTAAAGTAGAAAACAGATACAAACAATATAGCTTACTGACAAAGAACTCAGGAACCAAGGAAACTTGAGAGATTTAAAAATCTCCAGTATAACAGTGAATGTTAAGTTTTTACTTTTTCATTTAATTAGCACATGAAATTACAAAATCAACAGGTGCTATACTAAGATACATAAGTATGATGTTAATTTTAAAACACTACACAAAATTTAAAAGCTAGGTAACAGTCGTCATAATCCTATCAAGCTCGTGTTTTTTCACTGTATTTGATTTTCTATGAAGGTACAATTTACACAAGGAAAGAAAGAAAGCGATAGTGTTTTAGTTTAGTGTATGAGTATGTGAAATAATAATTGCAGCTTGAAGCTAAGGCTTAAGCAGTGTGACTGAGAGAAATAAGATATGCTGGAAAGATTTTTTCATTCTGAATTTGAGGGTTCATTTAATAGACAAATAGTTGTTAATTCTTTGTGATTTGCATCTTGATGAGTTACTCTTTGACATTATGAAGTGCCCTTATGAAATGTACCTTATTTGGGTGAATCTATTTGCAAAGTGAGTCCTAAAGGTAAAAGACTCCTTGAAAATTCAAAGAATATGTGTAAAATAGGCCTTATTTTTGGATGATGTCCTTTGTGAAGTAGGGCTCTGTGTGTTTTCTGAGCTGCATGCCCGAAGTCTAAAAGGTAATACAAGGCTACCCAACCACGCTAGAATTCCATTATCCTCCCACTGCTAGAGCTCTACTATCTCTCTCATATGCAGTCACACAGGTAGCTCTTCAAGTCCTTAAACCCAGATTTCAATCAAGTGTTCACAGGTAACAACCTGTCCCTACCGCTGGTAGACCTTGGATAGTAATTTCTATGGAGCTCTTTCTTCTCTGGTACCTTGACTTGAAGATTCAGGTGCTTTTAGCTGCCTAGAAGTTTGCTACTGGCCTCCTCAGCTTGGGAGGATGACAGTTTGCTGCTGTAACACTACATCATGTTACTGTGCAACGGCTGAGAAACTGTTCTCAGACAGACATGTGGTAATCGTAGCTGACTATCGGTTTCTCTTCTCCTGTATCACAGCTACCTATTGTCCAAAGCATGACAAGAGTTGTTTCAACTTCACTGCAGTAGTGTTAGTCTAGTACCAAATAATTTCTTAAAGACAGATACAGTTCATTCTGCAGATTCTAACTTATACTTGTCCTACACGGATGAGTTAACTTATTTTACACGCATTTACTCATATATGGTTTTTTCCTGCATTATGTTGTAGTCTTTTACAGTTTAAGCTTTCCCCAAACAACTTATGATTTCTAGTCCTATGATCACCAATTCCATGCTCATTATGCTGTTTTCCAAAGCTTGTTTCTTCTAATCATCAGTGTAGACAAGAATCTAACTTAGGCCTATTGATAAGTTAGTTTTGCACCTACTTTGTCAGTAAGCTATCTTTGCCTGACATTCTAAAGTATACTGAATTCTATTCCAATATACAGTATCAGATTCTATTTCCAAAAGGACCCATTCCAAGCTATCCTCACCTCATGATGTCACAGTAAAATAACCTCGTAACTGATACAATGACTGTCCTTCAATAAGTCATTTTCTGTCCATGCTTGTCAGAATGCTTTCTTTCAAAAACATAACCCAGTCATTTTATTTTTAATTTAAAATTCTCCAGGGGCTTCTCAATGTATCTAGAATAAAATCTAAACAATTTACCTACAGTAAGACTGCAAAGGGTTGACCAATAAAGTAAATGATTAAATTTTTTAAAATTACAGTAAAAGACCTATTACCATTAATCGACTCCCCCTTGCTTTGAACACACTTATCCCATCATTCTTGTCATTTTCTGAAACAGGTCTGAAAGTCCCATTTCATGAGTATCTTTACAAGGTATGGTCAAAAATACAGTGCTGCCCAGTGCCACCCAATGGAAAGGCTGGCTCCTGAAACAGTATGGTGCATCCAGTCTACATTTTTCACTGGGTCTGGCACCACGGAACTTCTAGATCTTCCCTGAAGTCACAATGATCAAGAAAGGTACATGTTTTGAACTGATCTAGGACAGACAGGCAGCTATGAGAAAACAGTTAAAGACATGGAAGAGGACTCTGAGAACTTCCCGAAGTGGCAAGAACAATGGCCTCAGTGTGCTGGAAGCAGGAAGGGGATGGGGGAGGCATTTTAAAGGGAATCAGTAGCAATATGTCTTACTATAATAATTTCTTTCTCTCTTTTTTTTCCTCAGACAAGGTCTCACTATATAGTTCAGGCTGGCCTCAAACTCATGGCAACCCTCCTGTGTCGGCCTCCTGAGTGCTGGGATTACAGCAGTGCATCATTTCACCTGGCTTTGTAGTAAGTTTTTAAAATTTAACTGTTTCACTGTATTTTACTATCACGTCTGCTCTGAGTTTTTCTTATAATACCTGTCTCACAACTGAATAGTATCAAGGTTGGCCTTCTTTCTGTGTCTTTACTACTATACACATTCCCATCCCAGGGTTTTGAGGGCAAAAAAGAAATCCAAAGAGCAGGAAAAGACATTCATTATCTGTAAGTCTGACAAAAGAAAAAATCCTTAGCTCAAATATATAAATAAGTTCTGAGAATAACTAATGGGAAATAAAATCCCATACAAAATGACAAAATATTCAAACAGATATTTTATACTTCAGAGGATATTAAAATTTGAAAAGGTTCTCAACTTCATAAATTTTCAGGAAAATTCAAGTGAAAATCACAGCAATACTAATATGTATATATGCAAAAAATGTTTAAAATGGAAAATACTAAGTGTTGGTGAAAGACGGACCAAGGAGAATTCTCTTAAATTATTAATGAGAGCAAATTGGTATAAACCACTTTGAAAAACTAAATATGAACATAAACACATTCTAGGGCTTAGCAATCACACTTTTGCTATACAACCAAAGAGAGTATAATGTATGGTGGCTATATGTATTTATATTTATATTCACTAAAAGACAAGTACTACACTTTGTAGAAGTATTTATAACATCCACAAAGTGAAAATACCTAAATGTCCAAGAACAAGCTTTGGAAAACAGCATAATGAGCATGGAATTGGCGATCACAGCACCAGGAATCACAAGGTGTTTGGGGAAAGCTCATGATGTATTCAATAAAGGAATACCATTTAACACTAAAAATGAACACAGTGAAACCATGCAAGCAGTATGGTTTAATTACAGAAGCATAAACCAGACATGTAAAAAAGAAAACTCCATCTACATATGATCTGATCCCATCATAATGGGGAAATAAAGAGCAAGCACAGATGAAACTAACACAGAAGGCACGGGCCGGAGCCAGCTGCGACGGCACACAGCTACACAGGCCTGGGTACTCAGGAAATCTGGGAGGAAGACTGCTGGAGCCCAAGAGTGTGAGGCCAGTCTGGGCAACACACCAAGACCTTTGTCTCAAAAGAATAAATAAGAAGGGAATCATGAGGTTGTTTACTCCTGTCCTTTATCAGACTCTACACAGAAACTTTTACACTATGAATCTGTATTTTGAAGTGAGAAGACAGAATCTAACTAGTCTGCATCAGAGCATCTAGCACATTTCTGGGGAAGCAGTTTACTTAAATAAGGAAATGTCCCATTGCACATTGTTTTGAATCTGATACCACTTATGTTTCTTAACATCTGAAATGCTTGATGTCATTCTAACAAAGAAACCATTCAATAAGTACTGATAATACAGAGTTCTATTCAAATAAATATAAGTTCCAGGAAGTATGAAGTATACCTTTAGTCTGTGAAAGCGAACGATGTCTCCAACTTTATAAATTTGTGGAAGGGCTTCATAGTTTCCACTAAACAGAAGGCAAGTTAACTTCACATTTGTTTGGTCCGCAATTGTTACAACCGAGCAGTAATCTAGAAAACACAAAGATATTTAACTTGACTTAAAGCACTTCAAAGCATTTCATGAAATAAGAATGTGCTTACTTCAAAACGCCAAATATACTTTGTTCCTTCCTTTAATTAACTCTTCTAAGAAAAGGATGAAGAGACATTTTCTTGGCACTGTCAAATTAATCCACAAAGATGTTCCACAAAAATTAATTTTACAAAGGCTAGTAAAACAAAAATAAAAATAGTACTTTATTTTTTTTGCAGCGGTAGTAACTGTTTTTACTACTTCAAGTATTTTAAATTGTGAAGTAGATGAACATATTCAAACAAAACATAAAATATGCATATTTACGTACTGAACTAAAAGTGAGGAATAGAGGTACAGCTCAGCACTAGAGTGCATGTCTAGAATACATAAGGCCCTGGGTTCAATGTCCAGCACTACAAAATAAATACATAAACTGAGAGAAAACAAAACGTAAGACATTTACAGAAAATGTGATGAAGAGTCTTATTTGTATTGCATAAAGACGCAATACAGGGGGCTGGGGATTTAGCTCAGTGGCAAAGCGCCTGCCTGGCAAGCGCAAGGTCGTGAGTTCGGTTCCTGGTACCAGAGAAAAAACAAAAACAAAAACAAACCAAAAAAAAAAAAGATGCAATACATTTTTTAAAAAAAACAGAATTTTGTAGTAAACGCATAATACAAATGAACATTTCATAGAAAGCTATATAATAACAAAAAATTCAAAGGGGTCATTCCCTCTTGCTAGACATGTCTCAAGATTATACAGTGGAATGAGGGATTACTTTAAACTGGTAAAATATTAGTAATGTGACTTTCCACAAAACTGGTAAACACAATAATGTTGATAAAAACTGTAAGAGATCGGGCCTTTTAGTATGTGTGCTTCAGAAAACTGCACACTAAGAAAATGCACTGATTTCTTGTACCCCCCAGGACCAAGTGAGGATGAATAGAAAAGAACTCAAAATAGTGGAGGAGGGGGTAAGAAAATAAGTGGTTTGCTGAAACCCACAAGGCAGTAGAAGACGGCTACATAAAACTGGGGGCCACTGGGAATGACAGCGGTCAAAGTACAGCTGATCCCTGGATATGCCATCAGCATGCACTGACTTAAGTTTAGGTTTTAACTTTCCTTTTTCATTAGTTCTAATTATCTATAAGGACTGTCATTTCATGGCATTTATTTTCTTTGTTAGAAATCTTCCAACGATTAAAGATAAATTTTTTTTTTAAACAGAGAATACGCCACATTCTTACTAAGAATTATATGGCTCTGCTGTACCCTTCTACAAATTTAAGATATACTACAGACACTTAATATTTTTTCTATATCTTGAAAGATACTGGTATTCATTTTTCTAATAATTATCCCATCATTATGCATTAGTTACTCCTATTTGTCTTTAAAAAGTCTGAATTAATTTTAAGAAAATGAAATGAGGGAATTACCTAAAGGCATGAAACGAGTGAAATAAAAGACAATGGAAATTACTTAACCATTATAAAAGGCAAAGCCAGACAACAGCACTTTACATAGGGGTAAAATTGCTCACCTAGGTGAAATTTCATACTATTTATATTTAGATAATACCCTAAATAAGGTTTCTCTCTCAAGCTGAAAAACTGATACAAGAAAATATGTTTCTAGGGATCAAAGGAAAACAAACTCTCCTAAAGACAGGAAATAGTGCATTCTTATCTACTAAGTCATTTAACAGGAAAGCGTACACCATGCAATAAATGACACTGGTTGTTAACTTCGTAGCTGGATTTACAAATATATTATCAACACTACCATATGAACCACCTGTGTTGCTAACCAGAATTAGGAACAGTCTCTGTAACTTTAGTGCCTTTTTCCCACTTACAATGATAGAATTAACCAACCTCATAGTAAAAGAGATCACTGACTGGCCAGAAGAAAATGATGTACTATGAATAAAGCATAAATAATTTGAAAATTTTAAGTTTTAAAAAATTTCATAACAGACAAATCAGAGGGTAAATGTCATAGTTTGGATTAAAAGAAAATGTCCCCAAAAGGCAAATGCATGTGTTCAGAAGGTGGTTATATCATATGTTGCTAACCTCCACTGCCGAGTTCATAGCTAAATGTGCTGTTAGCAGTGGGGGTACTTGGAGGAAATGGGTCACTAACAGCCTTCCTTGAATGGAGTACCTTTCCTCTTCCTGGATGTGAAGAAGTTCAGTTTTGTGCTATGCCTATCCATAATATTTCTGCCTTGGAGCCAATGAAGCATGGATTAAAACCTCTGGAACCATGAGCCAAAAATAAACCTTTTCTCCTTTAATTTGTGTAGGTCAGGTACTTTGCCCTAGCAATAAGAAAACTAATACAGGAAAAGAGATGATTTAATAAAAGATTAATTAATTATTTAGTTAAAAGTGACTTAAGGCTAAACCCTGGACATCTTCAGGAAGCCCAGTGAGTCTGGGCTCTGCATCCCTGAGCAGCGTGCAAGGCAGGCGAAACCTCGGGCACCCTCTGGGGCATCAGTGGCTACCTGCCACACCCACAGTGTGGGGGCCCGGGCTGGGCTGAACACCAGACATCTTCAGGAAGCCCGGTAAGTTGCAGCTTTGCATCCCTGACCAGCCTGCAAGGCAGGCAAAGCCTCAGGTTCCCTCTGGGGCCTAGGAGGCTCCCCACTACACCCATAGTGTGTCTTCTGGGACTGGGCTGAACCTTTAGGAACCCACTGAGCCACTCTGGTGCCTCCCACACTAGGGTGTGAGGCACGTGGATCCCTGGACAACTTCTGGGGCCTTGGTGGTCACTGCCAGAACAACTCACGCCCCCTTGGTAGCTCAGCTGAAACCTGAACATAGTCAGCGGCCTGGGGGGCGCTCACCCTCACCCGTCTCCTTCAAGTGTGGGAAACAGGATCTGTCCTGGGCAATATCTGAAGCCTCAGTGAACTCGACCTGAATCTCCCCCTACTCTTGTGGAATCTGGGCCGAACCCCAGTCTCAGGAACGCCGGGGAGCCTCCCATATCCTTCCCACACACTCTTGGGAGCCAACTGAATGCAAGCAAGGTTGGCAACATCTGGGACCCCACCTTGTTACAACTGACCAGCACAGAAGCTACACTGAACACTGGGGATCATCAGACTTTCACCCTGCCACTCACACACAATCACAACAGTGACACTGCACTACAAAGAGTCTCTGGATCTTCAAAAAATGACAAAATGCAGGAGCGAAATGCAATCCCAGACCTCCACACCACCAAAACAAGTCCAGGAGGCATCAACACAAAAGAGCCTGGAAGTCATGCACCTGAAATTTCTGAAATGATAGCAACCGAGGTAAAGAAACAACTCCATCAGGCCAGAGAAGACATCAGATCAGAAATAATGTCTCAGGTGAGAAAAGAAATGACAACAATAATGAAAGAAATGTTCAGCATATCCAAAGATGACATAGACAAGAAAATAGAGCATAGACAATTCAATGAAACCTTCAGAGAAGAACATATAAAAGAACCAGAAGGTACGAAACAGATGCAAACAGATATCCAGGAACTTAAAAACTCCATTGAAACCTTGCAAAACCACCTGAATGATGCTGAAGATAGACTTTCAGACCTTGAAGACAGCATTGCCATTAATGAATGTGAAAGGAGGGATCTCTTAAAAACAACAAGGAACCAGGAAATAACAATTCAACAACTGCAAGATGAAGCAAAGAGAAACAAAGTCACATTAATAGGTATTAACAGCAGGTGTCAACACAAATGACATAAAAAGACTATTTGCAGAAATAATAGCAGAAAATTTCCCAGGAATAGTAAAAGAATCAGACATCCAGATAAGTGAAGCATATAGAACTCAAGTTAATCATAACCAAAATAAATCTACACCCAGACATACAGTGATCAAGATCCCAGAAACTCAACAAAAGCTCAGAATATTAAAAGCTTTTAGAGAAAAGTAACAGATCACCTATAAAGGAAAGCCTATCAGAGTCATGGCAGACCTCTTGACACAAACCATCAAGGCAAGCAGAGCTTGGAGTGAAGTATTTCAGGTGCTGAAAGAAAACAACTTCCAACCCAGAGTGATGTACCCTGCAAAGCTATCTTTCAAATTTAATGGAGAAATAAAATATTTTCATGACAGAGAACAACTGAAGAAATTCATGAGCACCAAACCAATCCTACAAAGAGTATTAAAAGACATATTAGAAAGAGCTCAAACAGACCACAACTTCAAGAACAGCAGAAAGGAACCAATAAGCAGAGCAAGCAATTAAACAGAGGGACAAACAGGATTCAACAGCAGGAAAATAGCTGACAAAGATAAGCCAGTACATATCTGTTATAACAATCAATGTAAGTGGTCTCAATGCACCAACCAAAAGAAGCCAACTTGCAGAGTGGATTTGGAAACAAAACCCAACTATATGCTGAATACAAGAAACACATTTAACCCAAAAGGAAATTCAAAGACTGAAAATTAAAGGATGGAAAACCATACTCCATGAGACAGGAATCCAGAAAAAAGTGGGTGTAGCTGTTCTGCTTGCAGACAACTTGAACTTCAAACCAAGAACAATCAAAAGACATAAAGAAGGTCACTACATACTTGTGAAGGGTAAGCTTCAAGAAGAAGAGATAACAATCGTAAACATCTATGCACCAAATATAGGAGCACCTACCTATATAAGACAAATTCAAACAGACATGAAAAATGAAATAAGTAGCAACACAATCATAACAGGGGACTTTAACACGCCACTGTCACGAAGAGATAGATCAACTAGACAAAAAATTGGGAAAGAAATAACAGAACTTAACCAAATGTATGAACATATGGACTTAGTAGACCTTTACAGAGTATTCCACCCAACAGCATCAGAATACACATTCTTCTCATCTGCACATGGGATGTTCTCTAAAATGGACCATATACTAGTACACACAATATGTTTAAGTAAATGCAAAGGAATTGAAATTATCCCATGTATA